TGTGGACATTGTTATTTTGATACTTGTGGTGTTTGTTGTGTTCTTTCTAGTGGTTAAATCTTTATTACCTTTTCTCTTCATGGGATTAGGAAGAGGAAAGATGATACACTTCTGTGAAGGGTGCGCTCCTTGTGGGCTATGAATGTGGTGGTTTGAGAGAAATGCTAGGATTTTTGCTGAACCGCTTTCCCTTATTTTCTTTGGGGATAAGTCGACCTTTTAGGAATTTATCTTGTGTATTGTGTATAGAAATGTGTAGGCTGTTCTTTCTTTGTTCATGCTGTTCTGTTGACCTCTTTCTCTTTTTTGTTCTTTTTTCTTCTTTTGTTGGAGAACTAATGCTGCCATGATTTACTCTTTTCTTCTCTATTGATATTGCTTTTTCCATTAAAAGGAGTTTTTTGTGCGTGTTTGTTGTCATTTGGATAGAATTAGAGATTAATTGTTTCAAACCCTTTGTAGTTTGGTGCAGAATAGCTTTTTTACAATTGGAGAAGATCTTTGGGAAGATCTCATAGATACTACAATATTTCCATGTAAATATCTTTAAATACATGGATGAAACCTCTTTGCTACCTTGTGAATAATTGTCTCCTCCTTTCTCTTAAAAAAAAGCGAATTGGTACGTAATTGATTATACCAAAAGTAGCTCAAAATGTTAAGTTGATAGAAAGGAGTTAAGAAGAAATAGGTTGTGGAACTAATTATACCAAAAGTTTTTCTTTTAGAATCCATTATATAAAAAAAGTTAACGGAAAAGAAGAGGTGAAATTATTATTTATATTCAAACATTAACTTTAGTTCTTTTGGCTGATCAATTTTTTTCATAGAAAAGAAATATTATTAAGATTAAGAATGAGAAACTACAACTACAAAAGGATAAAGTATCCTCCCGGAGCCTTTTCATGAAAAAGCTCCTAAGTTAGAAGTAGTTACAAAACAAAACAGTGAGAATCACAAGTTGATCGCCCTCCAGTTCCTATGAAGGATGGTGAAGAAAATATTTGAGAACTTTCTACATATCTTTGCCCATGGGAAGGCCAGAAATGTTATCTTCTCCCGTAAAGTTCCAATTGGGAAAGGTTGTCTTCAAAGACCAGTTTGTTCCCTTCTAACCGTATTGTCCATAATCAGGCTGATGAATTTTTCCTTTTTTCTTTTTGTTGACTAATATTTTGATCCTTTTATCTGAATTTCTTTCGGTTTTTCAGAGAGTTCGTGCTTTAGGAGATGGATAACTGCTATTCACCTGTGTATTGATGTCTTTCATGAATGATCTATGAATGCTTCGTCTCTCGCTTGTTCTCTCTCTTTGGGTTTCTTTTCATGGGTTGGGGTTTTTCTGTAACCTAGCTATTCTTTTATGTTCTCAGATCATGAAATATGCATCCATCTAAAATTTCAGCCTAGAATATTTGTCTATGATGCTTTTTATAAAGAGCAATCTCTGACATTGATTATCTGTTTGAAATTTCATTTTGGCAGATCTAAGGGGCCTTTTCTTCATGGCATTCTTCTTCATTCTTACTTAGGTTCTGCAGAGATGGTTCCTGAATTTGCAAAACTTGGTGCTTATTTTTCGTTCTCTGGATTTCTTATGTCCTTGAAAGGGCAGAAGGCAAAGAAGATTCTGAAAGCGGTTAGTTTATCAGTTTCAACTTTCACAGCATATATTTCAAAAGGCTAAAATATTAAAGCCCCTTATATTGTACAAAAATGTGTAAAATTCCACATAAACTATTCTTTATTTTCAAAGTTTCCCTTGTACTTTTAAAAGGAGACAAAATTCTCTTTCTCTATTAGATCCAACTAATGATGTTTGGCAAACATTGAGGTGGCAGGTGATGTATCAAGTAACCTGTCACTTTGTTTAAATTTGCTGACATCGATGTGACATCAGCTATATATCAGCTCTCTTGTCAGCAATTTTTTTAACCCTTATTTAGATCACCAGTTGGTAATTACATGCAAAGGAGAAGGTTAATACCTTCTCTGTTTTGGATATTTATTAGAAGAAAAAGGAATCTTGTAGAAAGTCTCAATCTTTCCTCAGTTTGCTAAAGGATCTCCTCCTTTCTCTCTGATTACAGCTCTGAGAATTCCCTTTTTTCAACAGATCTCTCTTCTCCCTTTTTATGAAACCCTAATCTTCCAAATCTTCTTCCCTCCTGTTGTCTGTTACAGTTGGCCCCTGTTTTCTCTTCTTAGAACCCTCAAGGACTGCAGCCCCTTTCTCAAATCGCTCACTCTCAGCCTCTAATTTGCTAGCTGTGAACCAGAGAATCTCTTTGCTTTGTTAATTTCCTAATACACCCTTCTCTCTGGTCGTTTCTACAGTGATTCAATTCCTCCTTTTTTCTTTCTTTCCTTTTTTTTTCTGTTTATAAGTTTAGGAACATCGAAAAAATTACACATGGATCAGATGCAGGTGTGGTTCATGGTAATTCAGTGGGTGTGTTTTGGTTGTTGTTGGATCTAGCTGGAATAGAGAGATGATATCTTAGATATGTCATCCAATCTCTTTCATAGTATTTTCAAACTGTAATACATACGAGCATATGGATAACAACTGTCTTTCGCCGCAAAACCAGCGGAAAAATGGAAGAGAGTTGTGAATTTGGCTGCAAGTGGAAACATCTGAATGTGGAGAATTCAGAAAAAGAGAAAGAAATATCAGAAATTCATGATTACATACTCAGTTCAACCTGTCACTTAAAAATGAAAAATCAAGAAAGAAAGTAGAAGCATGACCCACATTTTTAAAGAGGAAATAAGACAATGACGAAAAAGTCTCAATTCCAACCTATTGATATGAAGTATTTGTGAATGATATACATGTGCGTTCAGCACATATATTTATGGCACGTTGGCGATGAAGAAGATGGGGAAGATAACGACTTGCCTGGGTAAAGGGAAGAAGGGTAAAAAATAATTTGCTGATGTGTTGTTGACCTAGTGTCCATATCGGTAAATTTAAGCGAGGTGATAGGTTACTTGGCATGTTACCTGCCACCTCAGCAGTTTCAAGACAGTGTTAGCTGGATCTAACAGAGAGGGAATTTTGTCTCCTTTTTAAAAGTACAAGAAGAACTTTGAACAAAAAAAAAAAAAAAATAGTATAGGAAGAATTTTGAATATTTTTTTATAGTGCAAAAGGAGCTTTGGTATTTGGACCTATTTCAAAATACTTTGGATTTTCATTTCTAAGAAATATTTTATAGGTGCCTTCTGAAAGGATTTTATTAGAGACAGATGCACCTGATGCGTTGCCAAAGTTAGAGATAAGTTCTTTATATTTTGTTGATGGAGATCCTTCCCTAGCTAAAGAGATTTATGCCCAAGGAGAAAATGCAACTTGTGGTCTTGGTACTGTTTCTGATGGTTCAAGGAATGCACTTACCCTGTCAAAAGAGACACTTAATCATCCTGCTAACATTCACAATGTATGTCCATTGCTTTTAGTGGTGAACTTTAATTGTTTTCCCTAGTGAAGTTAGGAAATGAGTTCATGTTGTAGTGTACATATATCATGTTTGGACTTGAGTGTGAAAGCTTCATGTTAATATCTAGAATGTTTTGATCATGTACAAATGATGGTTCCTGAATTTTTTACTTGAAAAGTGGTCAGTGATCTTATTGCTCTTCATCTTGAAAAGATTAGTTAAGTCTGACTTTTAACTTTGAGTATTGAAGATTCAGTCCTTTGCTCTGATGAAAACCATCTCTGCACCCCTCTCTCACTGTGAAAATGAAATGAGTAATAAAATTCGAACAGGTTAATGCTTGCTGCAAAATATTTAGTCATGGAGTGAAGAGAAATATGAAAGTATTGCTCCACCTCTCTGATTAAAAGAAGAAAAGAGTCATATAGATGGCAAATAGCTTTCCAAGGGCCACTTTGAGAAATAGAAATGGTGGCTTTAGAAGCCCAACTGCTTGGATGCAGCCTGAATTTGCTCTTAATTACTCGATGCTACAAGTGTTGGACTGGATAATTTTTATGGTCAAAGATACAAGGAGTTTGTCAGTAACAGTATACAAGTTGGATAAAGGTACTTGGATTCGTTTGACGTGAAAAATAATAAAACTAGTATATAAGCATTTAGGCGTTGATGGCGGTTTCATTTGCATGGAAAAATGCAGTCCTTAGTAAAAAAAGATAGTAAATCATATTTGTGGTTGAAAGAAAATGCCACCAACTAACAATGCATGATTTTATTTTTATTATACAAAAATGTCCAAGATTTAGACATTCAAGAACTTCTACTTCTATTTGTGATCTTTTTCAATTTCTAAGAGTCTTCAATCATCCTCTTTATTATTATGTATCATATAACCTCTACTTCTGGATCATCAAGTGTCCACCATGCCCATCAAGTGTCCACCATGCCCATCAAGTGGGGGACATCATATCTGAAACAGTTATGCTGCTAAAACTAAAGAGTTGGTGTATCATAGTCTAACAATTATTTGGTACTGCAATGAAGGTGGTTTAAGACCCCAATTTTTTTCTTTTTTAATGGGTCTGCGTTCGCATATGAATTGTTCATCTTTGAATCTAGTTGGTATTTTCTGTTATCCTTCCTGCATTGTCTAGCTATCTTTCAGTTGCCATATTATCTATATTTTGTGCTCCTTAATGGCTTCATGCATTTTCAGATATGTACTTAGGGCATTGTATTTTGTACTTTGATGATATTAACACCTAATGACCATTCCAGGTGCTCACATATGTTGCATCTTTGTTAGACATGTCAAAAGAAGAATTAGCAGAATTAAGTTACAGAAATGCTGTTCGTTTATTCTCTTTTGAAGGTTCAGAATTGGTGTCTCATAGGTAATTCAGTTCATTGCTTTTTTTTTTTTTTTTTTTTCTTTTTTCATGTTTTTTTTTATTTGTTCGGAATTGGACTTGTTGTAACAGTTTGCTACATATTCTCTTATGTTATTATAATTTATAATAGTATATCAACGACTACTGATTACTAAGGGATAACTTGTTTTTTTCTTTTTTTTTTTTTTTTTTTTCTGAAACTAAAGGAATAACTTGTTAATTTAAAAAAATATGTAATATGAGAATCCATGTGATTCTGTGAGCCATGATAAACTGTTTGAGTTCAAAATGTAATACAAATAATAAGCCTCCTTGTTGCTCTTCCTTCCTTTCTTAGTATTTTGAATTAGAGTTGACTCATAAAAGGAGGTCATCCACTTCTATGATAAGAAATATTCTAAAGCAGTTTGTTATTTACTGTATGTCATCAGACTAATAATTAGTGGATGAAAACATCAGTATCTGTTAATCAATGTAGTGCAAACAATTGAAAAATGCACTTATAGATATACTGAAAAGGAGAAAAAATGAAGATCTGATGTTCTTGGGTGTACTTTTATTTTGAGGAAAAAAGAAGTGTCTTAAGAGGCACCAATTGAACTCTGTCCTTGTCGTTTACATAGAATTGAAAGGTAAAAGATTAATCACATTTCTCTGGTCCTCATAATGAAATATAGGACGTCCTATCAATGAAATCCTGATAACGGAACTATAAATCTCTAATACTAGCAAAGGAGTGGAAATGTGCTTCGAACTGTTTTGTTTTTCTCTTCTAAATAACTCGGAAAGTAGCCACAGAGATATGAGTAAATTGTTTCCTCCTAGATTTACGAACAATAAGGTTACCCCAAGCTCAGTAGCAAGACCTAGAAACGACCTAAGAACAATTGATAAGACTTAAACCAAAATCCCACAACCTTAGCATTTGTTTTGTTTTTGGATGTCTTTATAAAAGTTGAAGCATTTTGGTTTTCTTTCTCATTTTCATAGAATGCAAGTTTTTTATTTTTAGGCTAAAATTGCCATGAAAAAGAATTATAAAATTTATGAATCCTTTTTATTTTTAACTTGGTTAGAAACTATGAGTTTTCTCTTTGGTAATTTTTGTTTTTAGGGGGTAGTTTTTCTTTTTTAAAATTCAATCTGTTAAAAAGCTGAAGAACATTTGTTTATGTTATAAAATTTCAGTAGTGGACTTTTCAATGGATTGAAATATTTCACTATCAGCATGTCAACTGTATGTGGCTTGGTGAAATATATTTTACATTTTAGATGCTATTATTGATCTCATGTGAAATATATAGGAGCATCATAAGGGTGCTCTGCCTCTTATTCCCTGTCCTGGTTCTAGTTTCTTTTTTGTACATAAACTTGTTAATATCCTGTAATTTATGCGATGCACTACTGTTCTCTTGTTATACTTGCTGTATTTTATAGATAGTTAATTGATCCAATTTTTGTTTGTCCATTATCTGTTTGACTTGTATGGTCAAGTTCATAAATATTTTAAGAACTAATAACTGTTATTATTTAATATAACAATTTGTTTTATTCTAGAGATTTGCTTAAAACTTATGTGGTGAGAATTTGAATCATGCATAACAGTCCAAATCGCAGATGGATGTATGAAAAGGAACAAGTGACCAAACATGCAACTGTCTTGAAAAATATTGCCAAAACTGTTGCATCTTTTAGCATTACCAAACCTAGTAGCAGCAGCCAAGTTTTTGTCAATGAAGATATTATATCCAACATTCTTGTTCGGCTCCCTGCAGAAATTTTATTGACAAATATGAGATGTGTTTGCCAACGGTGGTATAATGTCATTCAAAACCCCGTTTTCATTGTTGAACATCTCCGTCTATTGAGAACTGGCCTATTGATTCAAAGCATAAATCATCCATTTTCTTCCCATTTTGTGGAGATTAGAGAAAGCAGTATTAAGTCATGTATTGATTTTGACTTCCCTGGAAAAATTATGGCTGGTCATGATGGCTTATTAGTGTTCAAAGACGCTAAAGATAATAAGAGTCTTCATGTGGCAAATCCTGTAACAAAGCAACAGGAGAAACTCCCTTTGCTCACCTTCCCATATGATGTAACTAGCCTTAAATGTGGTTTAGCACGAGTAGCTTCAACTGGGGAGTATAAAGCAGTTATTACTTACAAAGTTGGAAAGTTTAAGCAAAGATTTCAGCAGATGGTAACACTGGGCTCTGATAAGTCATGGAGATGGATAGATACTAGTCATGTAGACAGTACTGCCCAGAGAACCTTCGACTTTGCTCCATTCTGTATAGGAGGGTTCATTTATTGGTGTTTCTGTAAAAATCCTTATGTTGTAGTTCTGGATGTTGCTACCGAGAAAGTTCACCAGGTTCCCGTCCCTGAATGTTGTGTGTCCATAACGTCGACCTATCTATCAATGGGGAACTCTCTATCCATGATATTGCGTGATGCTGTTGAAATGCAATTGGAAGTCTGGATTCTAACAGACATGAAGGAAGGGGAGTGGGTTGACCTGTACAGAATCAATCTGGAACCTGAAAGACACATGATTTCCGACATGTTTGGTATGGAAAATATTGTTCTTAGTCCTTTTGCTTGGATGAACAATGGTGAATTGTTGATACTTAGGGTTGAGTCAAATTTCTGGCCCTTTATTTCCTGCAATGTTAAGACAGGAGAGATTAGATTTGTCGAGTTATATTGCGATGTAGCACAACAGACCAGGCGAGTTCATGTCAACAGCCTAGTTTCCTGGAGGGTTCAGTAACCTTGTAGAATTGTACTTGGGTCCTTTCAATACCTTTTATAGAGTTACCTTCTGCATCAACACAGCAGTTGTTGGGAGAGTTTAGTTTCATTTCATATTTTCATTGCTTTCCTCCAATTAGGGATGGTGGAGAAAATTACCATTATCTCAGGTATATATACATATATACTGGGAAAAGAAGAAAAAAAAAAAAACAGAAATTAATCAGGTATACATATATATATATATATATGTATGTCTGTAAATATTCACTTTTAGTGTTTTTTCTGGGGTTATTTTAGCTCTAGGCTATTTATCTACATAAAGAAAAGATTTATATAAAAATGGGATGATAAGTGGCATTAGTAGAAAGTGAAAAATAAGGTACTCCCACACTATTTGAGGTTAACTTAAAGTTTTTGTATGCCTAAATTGTAAAATTAATTTGAATTTATTTAAGTATAAAAAATATAATAAAAATGTAATCTTTTTTAAAAAAAAAATTAATAATGATGAAGTAATAATTGATAATCAAAGTTTATTTTATTAACAAATGTTTTATGAGTTAATAATTAAATAATTTTTAATTCAAATAATAAATCAAATCTTTTTTTTTTTAAAAAAAAAACGGAGTAAAAAAATATAAACAGTTATTTTCAATAATAATAATTATTTTTTTTTTAAAAAATAAGACTTATAAAAGAAGAAAATATCATTGCACATTTTCTTAAAATGATAATTGATTGAAATAAATTGTTTCATTTTTTTTTTATGAAATAAAAACAACTATACATACATGCGTGTATATATATGTAAATAAAATATGTAATATAATATTAAATAACTGTTTTAATATAAAATAAGAATACATATTATTTTTTGCACATATTTTATTAAAATACTAATAGATGTGTTTTTATTTTTTATTACTTTATTAAAAATTATTATTTTTAAATATATTATCTTATAATGTTTTATTGTTTAAAAATATTTGATAAAATTAATTTAAAAAATTATGTAGAGAATCTTAAAAAACTAAAATCCCTTTTTTTCCGATTAAAATCGAAATTTGAAAGGCTGTTGCAACTGAACTTCACAAACCACCTGCTCAAAGCTGCTGCTTCTTCTTCTTCTTCTTCCTCTTCTCTTCCTTTTTCTTTTACTGTTTGTTTTACAGTGGCCGTCTTCTTCGTCGCCCTCAGTCAAGAATAATGTTAAGGTACCCTCATTTTCCTACTTTTTCTCTCTCAACATGCACATTGACACAGATTTGATATCCGTAAGAGTCGTATGACTGTGTGTTTAATAAAGCTTTATTAAATTCATAGGTAAAAAGAATGGTGTTCCAGGATTTGTATATTCTCTTTTCTATCATCATCATCAGCGTTTAATAAAGAATCCTGCAGTGTTGCTTATGGATGATCGAAGTCATGATCATAGACATTGTACTAAGCTGCACTTTAGTTGGCGAGTGAGTGAGCCCTTATAAAGTTTCTTCGGAGAGGGCTACAGTCTCCAGCAAAGTGCTGTAACTGTCTTAGCGTTCAATAAGAAAAAGATAATACCCTTTTCACGATAATTATTTTTAGGAATTTCTGAATTCCATGGATGCAGATTTCTGATATGCACTTTTGTGATTAGTTCGTTCCCTGTTAACCATTTTCTCATAAAAACTACTTATGATTAACAAAGATTGAGCAAACCATTGGCATTTTCTTCTTCATTCTTCTTAGTTATGGACACAATACACAAGAAATTTGTATTTTGAATCTCTTGAATGCTGTTTATCTGTGATATATCAGAACTATTCTAATAATTAATTACCTCATTTGGCTGGTTCCACCAACAGATTTTTTTAGTTAGTCACCGCGATAAAGAATATAAGAGGTGCTGTGCCTTTTGGCCAAATTGGTTTTTAATCTCCGATCAGAGCTCCTTTAGTCTCTACATCCTTAAGAACATTGAAGTCTAGCTTTGGATACAAGGCTACAACCAGGGCAGATTGTGCATCATGACTGAAAGATATAACAGAAATGCATCATCTTGGTAAGAGATTCATCCTTCATCATCTTAATTTCCAGATGTTCTTACATTTTGTTCCCCAGGAGTTAACCACATCTTTTTCTTTTTTGCGAGTTCACATTATTTCCTTTCTGCTCTATTTCTCCACCTTGCCTTTCTATATGTTTGTTTCAGGTTAATGAAGTCTGCAGCGTCTTCAGCAGATGTGCGATTCAACATAAATGGTGTGCCATTCTCGCTGGACAGAGTGAGAAATAGTCTCCAATTTCTGTTCTCTAGAATTTTTGCCTCCTCAAAAGGTTATAAACTAGTGATTTGATTTATAGATGTTATAATCTATATTTGTGTAGGAACTTCTGGCTGCAAGATCTGCAAAAGTATCTACCTTACTAAAAAGGAATTCTCCGGAACTTCTACCTCATCTCCTCCAAGACATTCCAGCTGACCCTGAAACTTTTGAGATTGTTGCAAGATTCTGCCATGGCTTTGAACCAGAATTATCCTCTGAGAGTATTGTACCACTCATCTGCCTTGCTTATTACTTGGGGATGGATGAAAGTCACAGCACTAATAACATGTTGACCAAGGCTCTTACTTTCTTTGAGCAGAGAGTACTCCCTAGCTGGAACGAAACTATCAAAGCTTTCCGTGCAGCAGAAACTGTCTTTCAACAAGCAGTGGATCTTGGACTGGTTGATGCATGTTTAAAGTCTATTGTTGCAAAGACATTGCTCGATCCCTGCTTTCTTGGGGAATCAATCAAGACTTCAGTAAATGAGGATGACAGTGACGATGATGCTAATAAATACAGGCCTAATGCAAGGAGAAGGCTTTTTGTTCCTGATTGGCAGCCAGAAAATTTGATAACTCTATCGCTTCAGCTCTATGAGCTTGTCATTCATGCAGTGAATCAGCATGGAGTGCCTTCAGAACATATTGCTGCATCCATTTTCCAATATGCAAACAGATGGGTTTTGTCCGGCAACACAGTAGGTGACAATATGTTAGTTTACAAGAACTTTAAGAGAGACGTTATTGAAGCAGTAGAGACGCTTTTGCCTCAACAAATAGGACTAGTTGCCTGTTCATTTCTCTTTGAAATGCTTCATTGCGCCATTATTTTTGAAGCTAGCTCTGATTGTAGAACTGGGTTTGAGATTAGGATAGGAAAACAGCTGGACCAGGCAACAGTAAAGGACCTCTTAATACCAGTGCAAGGTTATGCTAGAGAAATGCAATATGATGTTGAGTGTGTGAGAAGGATTTTGAAGATCTTTTACAGTAACTTCTCTACCGCTGACATTTCAGGGTTTCTTAAAGTTTCAGAACTCATGGAAGGATTTTTGGCAGAGGTTGCAAATGACATTGATCTAAAGGCTGACACATTTATTTCACTAGCCGAGATGTCAGTAGCAGCATCATTTGGAACTCAGAGGACTTCAGATGGAATATACAGGGCTATTGATATATACCTAGACAAGCACAGGTACCTGATAGACTCAGAAAGAGAAGAGGTGTGTAGAGTGCTGGATTACCATAAAATGTCCCCTGAAGCTTGTGAACATGCAGCAAAAAATGAAAGATTGCCATTGAGGGTGGTGGTGCA